GGGGTGGCACTAGATGCACTTACAGTAAGACTGTGTTGCTTTTGTTGATGACATTCCGGTAACCACCGATGGATGAGAACTTTGCCTATTGGTCCACCTCGTTTCAACAAGCGGGAAAATGGTTCTCTTCGTCCCTTGCCCTTGGTACCGACATTATTGCCGACATAACCACATGCTACCCTCTGACATGCCTTGCTATCATAACCGTGCAAGATGTCACCGCTCCTTCTACTTTTAACCCACATGGTGGGCCCATAACCCATAGTTCCACAAGATCGAAACCTGACTCTCCTGTACAGCCCTGTTTCTAAAGTTATTCCTCACGCTTGGCTTCATATGAAATAACGAGTCGCCTTCCTAGAGATGACCTATTCTGGTATCAGACACTATACTTATTCCCATTGCTTTGAACCCCTTTCATGCCCTGTTTTAGGCATCGAACGATTGCATGCCCGCTCGAAACTTCCCATGATACCTCCTTACTTTGCTCTCGATAATTCCTTAAGTTTCAATTTGAGAGTTACTTTCCGCCACCTTCCCCGATGTTATCAACCAGATAGTCAACCTTGCAGAGGTCCGTTCTCCTGGAATACCCACCCTTTATTCTTTCCTAAGTACGATGGAGTTCCCGAAGAAAGGATGCCGACTTCATCATGATGACCTGAAGTAGAGAGATGAAGACATCAATGTAATGGATCGATCTCTTCGAGGAGAGCAACCAAGACCGAGAAGACTCGTTAGAATTTCATAACCAACACTTTCCCCCTTACTCCACCTCTTAAATCTTGGGACAAGATTTCTTGTAGTGGAGGAGATTTGTAACACCCCCGTTGTACAACTACAGTAATCACACACTAATGGTGCCAGGTCATCGCAATTAATTTGCTAAACCTCACTTTGCTCCAAACCGATTGAATTCAAAATTTAAAACAAAGGCAAAATAATATTTCTTTAAACAGAAAAACAAAAATGTTGTTAATCTCCCATAAATCCCTGATGAAATTTTCATGAAGAAATCAACCCTGGTTGGATTATTAAAATTCCCCTAGAAACTTTATAAGTAATCCGGCAGCAAATAAATTGGCCTTTTCAAAATAAACAATGATTTATTTAACTCCATTTGTCCCCGAACTTTTTGTCCTTGCTCAAACTATTCTCTGGTAATTGTGTGGCAAATTCCATGTGCAACAAAAATGGTTTGAAAGCTTATTTAAATGCAAAACAGTAGCTAGGTAATAATCACTAAAAAGAAATGAAAAAGGACAAGGATGCACTATACCAATGGGCTTCAAGTCAATAGTGTTCGACCCAGCCCACCAGGAGGTTTCCTCCTACCTCCTGTTCACACGAGATGTGCTGGACACGCCCACAGCGTCCATGGCGTCCATGGCCGGATCGGCCACGTGCCGGCCATCGAGCGACGCACTGGCGTCCTACAAGGTCATCCCGACTCCCGTCGAAACCCTAGCACGTCATTCTCCCCTCGCTCCCCCTTCCCCCTCGGTTTTGCTCGCTACTGAGCTCGAGTTCTCCGCGGTCACCATTGCCTTCATCGATGTCATAACCGGAAGCCGTCCCAAGCCACACAAGGACGTCCGAGAGCTACACCGTCCTCTTCTACCTCGACTGCGCTACTGGATCGGGACCAAGGAGCCGCCGAGACGGCGCCTGCTACTCTTCTTCCCTGACTACAACCTCCAAGCGCCATCGTCGATCCGCGCCCCTCGACCGTCCCCGGCCCCATCGACCCCTCCACGACCTCCCCTGTGAGCCCCTCCTTCAGATCCCTCGCATTTTCCCTTGCTCCCGCCGCTGTAGGCCGCCACCACCGTGTGACATGAACCGCGCCCCTGCGTGCACCGCCGCGCTCGCCTCCCCCTGGTCGTGCCCCACGCCGTCCGGGCACGCACTAGTCGTGCCCACACACCTTCGCGTTCGCCCACCTGCTGCCCTATGCAGCTCACACACGCACTCACGCGTCCCCTGGCCTGCCCGCCGGCAGCATCGCTGATGCCGTCCCCACACCCGGAGCTCCGCTCCCGTGCCGCTGGCCGCGCCCTACCTCGTCCGGGCGTGCCCTCGCTACCCCACGCCCGCGCCCGCCCTGCTCAGGCCTCGCTCGCGCGCGCGTGGCCGCTGCCGGCCGCTCGGCCTCCTCCCGCTGCTGCTTTGCTCTGTTGCGCCGCTGCCTCTGCCACCAACCACGCCCTGCGCCTGTCTCCGCTAGTGCTCCCCGACCATGCTCGCCGCCCCACGCTCCGCCCTCCGCCGGCGCCACCCTCCACCGGTGTCGCCCTCCGCCGGCACCGCCCGCTGCCGGCCGAGCCCGGCCCCGCCTGCTTCTGGCCGTGGCCGTCGGTCCTCCTCCGCGAGGCCGTGCGTGCCTCTGGCCACTGGAGGCCGGCTGTGCCTCTGGCCAATGGGCCCAGCCCTTAAAAAAGAGAAAAGTAAAAAATAAAATAAAATAAATAATTAGTTAATTGAATAATTAATTAGTTAATTAACTAAAATAACTAATTAGCTAAACGCGACAGACTATGACATGTGGGTCCCAAGACCCAATTGACCAGTCAAATTTGACTAGTCAACATGTTGACTGGACCCTTTGGCCCCCACCAGTCAGCCTCTGTGGCTAACACATGGCTGAGTACACCTAGTATTTTCTATTTAATTTCGAATTAATAATAATCCCATAAAATGTTTAAAACTTTATAAATTGATATATAATAAACCGTAACTCGGATGAAAAAACTTTGTACATGAAAGTTGCTCAGAACGACGAGACGAATCCGAATACGTACCCCGTTCGTCCGCCACACATCCCTAGCATAGTGAACCCGTAACTTTCCCCCTTCGGTTCATCTGTCCGAAAACGCGAAACACCGGGGATACTTTCCCGAATGTTTCCCCCCTTCGCCGGTATCACCTTCTACTGCGTCATGGCATACCTGGCACCGTTACTTGTCATGTCATGCATCGATATGCATCTGTTTGCATTGTATTCATTATTCCCCCCCCTCTTCTCTCTGGTAGACTACGAGACTAACGCCGCTG